ACTCCATGTGTCAGTCCTTCCTGTCACGTTGATCACCCCAAAATACAACATTCAGCAATGTAAATATCACATGCCATTCTCCATTTTGTACTTCCGTATACCACGGTTGATTGACATTTGCACGTTTATCATTACACACAGAAATAGGCCACGCACGTTCTCGTATTAAGGCTGTTAATCAGCGCGCTATATTGAAAAAGTACTACCAAAACTGTATGTCCTACTTTTTCCTATCACTGTTATAACAAGGGGACCTATGTATGCTAACTTTATACCATAGTCGGTGCAGTCTTTAAAATTGGCAACAAGTTAACCAACATTTTTTTTTTTTTGGTCTTTAGAGAATCATTTGCTTAGTTTAAGGACAATGTTAGATTAATGGCGTGTCCTCTTGCAGAGATGCTTAATATCTTATTCATTTACACATAATTGCCTATTCTGCTGGGCAGCAGCTTTAAGTCCTAGGATCAATCTGTTCAATGAGAAGTAACAAAATATTTACAGGTGAGGATAATGCCGCCAAAGAAAGGGGGTGAAGATGTCACTGTCGTTTCCTCCACCAAAGATATCACAGTGTTGCATTGCAGTGGTTATGCAGTGGTAAACTAGACAACCATATTTATTGGACTTGTAGCATTGGTTCATTTGCATAACTGGTACTATAATAAAGAGCTGCACAGGTAGTGCAGTGGTTAGTTATTGTTCACTTGTGTTAGAGTTGCTTACTTCAGGTGTCCAGGTAGACTTCAGCAGAGCTTATTACTTTGAAAAATACCAAAATATTCGGTGCGCTACAATATTTTTTATAAGGACAGTAAACTAACATATTGAAATTTAGGCTGTTTACGTAACAAGCGATTCAATTAGATTTTAATTCTGTTTTAAAATATATAATTTCTGTTAGTTTAACTCTACCTTTATTGTCTTTTTTGTCTAACGTCCCATTTTTATAAAATTTACACATGATGGTTTTGAAAATCACCATCACTTTTATTTTACTTAACTTTTTAATTTGAAGGATACGGGTTGATATGAGAGGGATCACTTCCGTTCCTTAACCCATGACATTGGACAAGTCTTTATTTGATCGGATACAAGTATATTTCTTGTTTTAATAAAAATCTGCACTTTATTCGGGCTTTTTACTGCTGCTCGACATTGCTTGTACGGTGTAAATGGTATACGTTATATAGACAGAAGGATACCCGCATCTCTCTCTCTCTCTCTCTC